CACGGCTCTGATGATCAAATCACAGTCGTGATGCTATTTTGCGACAACACACTCCCTCTCGTGTTCTATTGCTTAAATAAAACATTGGACACCTCAAAGGTCAGGATAAAGAAACACCCCATAAAAGCAGTCTTACACACAGAGCAGAGGTTCTTCACCACCAATGATGCCTGAAATTGTGAGCTTCTGCATTCAGATTGAGGTTTTCTCCCACACAAGAAGTTCCAGCTCAAATTAGAGGTTCCTCCTGCTTTTTAAAGGCAGACGCATCGCTGATGACATCACTAACCAGCCCGACGCCTGTTTGTCCGCCAAGGAGCGATATCTCTACTCCCTCATGCTTCATATCCACCCAGGCTTAAAGATGGAGGAGCGCAGGGTGGATGGGGGCAGCTGAAGGGAGGTGGGGGTCCTCCTCCACTCCTACTGCCCTAATCTCCTGCCATGCTGCTCTGCTACAGCTCCTTCTTTATGGAGAGGATTTGGGGGCCTCGAGGCGTACGGGTAAAATACAAGCTGTTGGAAGGCGGACAGGACAGGGCTTCATCCTAAGCCTAGTGGCCCTGAGAATATATGCTTTCAGTTTTCATATTCTGTCCTGGAACTACTTGGCAGCTCTGTTTTATTGCTCCTGCTGAAAGGACGAAGACTACACGAGCAGGAAATCAACTTGCGTGACACAGAGCACTCCAGGCAGAAACTGACTGTGCATGCAAGGCATTCTGAAAGTAATCCTGCTGGCCCCTAAAAGCAGAACAAAATGTCTTCAGGTTTAATGAATCGAGTCTGGTCATAAGATGTACTGACACTCTGTTCTACTGTTCTGTTTCAAAGTATGGAACATGTTCTCTAAAAGGAACACTTCACCTACAAGCGCTACCATCGCTAATAAGATAAGGCCTAAAAAATAAATGTAAACGAATCTCAAGTTGTCTTAACTGAACTTAACTTAACTATGACATGCTAGGGCGTCGCTAAAGTGTTGGTAGGCTCTTGCTGTGTGACCGCAGGTGGTTGCTAAGGTGTTAGCAGACTGTTGCTATGGCATTGTGGTGGTTGCTCAGGTGCTGCTAGGTCAACGCTAATTGCGTGATTTAAGGATTTCTCGCATCATGAAAGGGTTCTTCAGAGTAATGGAAAATGAGCATTAATGTGCTGTAGATGGTTCTATATAGAACCTTTTTGAAAAAGATTCTATAGAACACGCAAAAGGATTCGTCTATTGTTATAAGCATGACATCATAACAATAGAAGAACCCTTTTGGGTGCTATAGAGAACTATTTTCAAAAAGTCCTATACAGAACCATCTACAGCACATCTTCCATCAATCTAAAGAACCATTTCCCACTGCAAAGAACCCTTTAATGATGCAAAGGGTTCTTCTGGCATCCAAGGTGGTTGCTAGTGTGTGTTTGTGTGTGTGTGTGTGTGTGTATACACCGATCAGGCATAACATTATGACCACCTCCTTGTTTCTACGCTCACTGTCCATTTTATCAGCTCCACTTACTATATAGGTGCACTTTGTAGTTCTACAGTTACAGACTGTAGTCCATCTGTTTCTCTGCATACTTTGTTAGCCCCCTTTTACCCTGTTCTTCAGTGGTCAGGACCCCCATGGACCCTCACAGAGCAGGTACTATTTGGGTGGTGGATCATTCTCAGCACTGCAGTAACACTGACGTGGTGGTGGTGTGTTAGTGCAAAGAACTGGATGCAGTTTAAGTCAGCAGAGAATGAAGTTGTATTTATGGAAAAGATTTGGGTGACTACTGACTTCCAGTGTTTTAGCCTCGTAGGTCCAGAGCTAAACTAAAGGAGCAACATTTTTTTTTTTAAATTAGATTTTTGCTAAACTGTTTCTTTAAACAATAAAAATGATGTCTTGAATGAAATATGATGAACTATGCTGAACTATTTTCAAAAGGTACATGAAAAAATAAGGTTATATTAAAGTTGACTTAAAGGTCTGTTAGCACTGAACAAAAGAAAATGATCACTGAACATCAGTCGTATTTTTGGAACAGCCATTTCTTTCCAGTCCTTCTTGTACATCTCCTTCATCTAATTTACGAGAAGGCAAAGCAGTTGTTGCAAAGCGTTTTTCAAGAGTAAAAACGATCCAATCGCAGCACTGAGCACACACACGTCTCTGCTTTCACTCCACATGACGCCGAGCCGTGCAGAGCTTTGTGTTCAAATAATGCATCATGGGGCCATTGGTGGGACAGAGGCAAACAAACGGGTTTAGCCTCAGACTACCCGCTCATCCACTTTACTGCTGTAATGTTTACAGATTACCGCTGGCTTCACTATACGATGACGCACTGCCAGTCCACCTTAAAACAGGCCACCTTATTTATTATTTAATGCCTAAGAAATCTTTAAGCAGCCAGTAAATATGCAAGTTTAAACAGAGTAATAACAAAAGACACACTGTAAAATGATTACAGGTAACAGAAATGGACATTTTTCCTCCCATAACCACCCATAAACTCTGCATTAACATTCGCTGATGACATCACACTACAAGACTTTTATACAGCTTTGTTATTTGATGCATTAATGTATGTAGCTGTAAGTTAAGGTCAGACTGCTGTGAAAGGAAACCTTACAGTAGGGAACCCAAGCCAAAGACTTTGGAATGAGATTAGTTTGGGTTGCCTTTGCCAGCTTACAGCATCACCTAGTACAAGTTAGAAAATGATCAACTAGTGCTGAACAAAAAAAATCATGTAAACATTAACTTTAAACTGTTAACTCCCACACAGCAAATCCAAAATGAATCTCTTCCTATGAAGTTAATAATCAGTTTTCGATAGACAAATATTCACAGCGTTTAGACTTATCAGGGCCAGACCAGTATAAGCATTTCGTGGACGATGCTGTTTTTAAAGGGCTGAAAATTCTACCAACAGATAATTTATATTTTAATTTCAGATTTGAATGTTATTTTCCAATAGTTTTAGTTAAACAGTGCTTTATTGACAAATACAATTGTGAGCTGTAATTGTCAAACACCTAAAACGCTAATAAACAGCAGAATTACAGTCTTAAATAACAAACATAAGTAGCACTGGAGCTACGGCTTTTGGCTTCTGTTGATTACCTCTCATTTTACATATTTTAAATTAGCCATTCATTAAAAAAAAGCTTCTCTGGCAATTATGCAGCTACAAATGTAGCTAACTATCAGCGCTGTATCTGCAATGTTTTTGCAAGACCAATAAAATCTCAGGTTGTTCATATCAGCTGATATATCAGTTGGGTTCTAACACTTAGGCACTTACAAAAATCTGACGATTTTCTAGGTGAAAATCCGTTAGCACATCCTCTAGCGACAACACCCTTAAAACTATGGTATTTTTCACAGTTTCTAAGTTTAACATATTGGAAAAAAGTAAAATACACAACACAAAATGTGCCATAACTTTTGCACAGGCCACATTTTATGCTTTATTGTTTCCAATATGTTGAATTCAGCAAATAAACAGTAATTGTGCATTAAAATGTGCAGAAGTGTGTCTCTGTAGAGGATGTGTAACTTATCTTCACATAGAAAATCAGCAAAACATGTCATATGACAGGGACGTCCAACCGTTTGCATACGACTGCAAACTAAATTAATAGACACACTTTGCGTACAGACTTCATTCGCAATTAACATAAATGCACTGTCATATTCAGGTTAACATAAACCTTCTGTTTGACTTTTTGAAGAAGTCAGGGGTCAAATTTTACCATTAAAAATCATATAAAGTCTTTATAAAGCAGCAGGCTGGTCAGCAACCGCATGAGAGTCACGATACGATATAGCACAGCATCAGGCGAGTCAGTAAGTTTTATGGGTTGTGGTGCTGCTAGAGTATTTTATTGAAATGTTGCCTTTGCAGTGGATTTTTTTTCTCCCCTCAAGCTCAGGTTTGCCATGAGCGCATTCATTTTAAATATCACACTGTTAAAAGCACATTTAGACCTACTGATAAATCCATCACCATATTGATTTGAGTATTGCCAAGAGCTTATTGACAATGTTTTGCAGCACAAACATTTTTCAACACAGCTGTATAAAGCAGTACCAGACGTGGCATCACACGTCATCACATCTCATCTCAAAGTCTACTTTCTGAAATTATAATTCAATTAATCATGAATTCTTTAATATTAAAGGGGAAATTCCAGTGATTCTTCAACACTTCTTCAAAATTCAATGCATGAAATATCAGCAAAGTCATTCAGAATGGTTTGATGTGAAATACTCCATTCTAGAGAAGTGTACTGAGTCAGAATTGTTTACAATGGTGGTGATAGGAACCAAACGTCCAAAGCCTTTAAAAGCTACATTACAGAAAGTAATTAGGTGAACTGGTTATGAATACACTGCCTGATGTTGGATACACTGTTTTATGGTAGTTCTGAGAAAATTTTGACTTAAAATATATTTTTTAAAAGTTATTTTTGACAGAGCAGTACATGCAGGTCATTGTCAGGCTTTTTCAGATTCCTACCATTTAAACATCATTAACAATACATATAAAAAACTTGCAAGACACGTGTAGGTTCACAGGTCGTTTAGGTCGTAAACAAAATGGCTGTATTTGCATTGCAGAGATTGTGACCCCTGGTCTGCTTCCCGTCACTCCACCACTGTAAAGAACATCCAAGTCGGTAAGCGTCTCTACAATTAACCATTTCGCTTCAAACCACTGTGAATGACATTGTTTCCGATTGATTATGCAGAAATTTTAAAATATCAGTGTAGTTCCCCTTTAAGTGCAGCCCAGCTACTTCTACACTGCCAGTCTTTAGAATATAACACCAACAGCCTTTGCCCCCTTAACAGAGAAGTGATGACAGCCCACCGATGACTCAGACTAGAGATATTTTCCTTCACTCATTCGTGGACATTCACACTGCCACAGACCTCAGTCATTAGCACCCCGACATACAATTACAATGACTCTGGTCATAAATAAGAGTGTCAATCTCAGGTCTTTACCTTGTGTAGTCTCCCTTTGCCTCCTGAAAGGAAAAAAGCACAACTGTTAGGGACAGTGCACATCATGTGCAAAGTGCAAAGTAGCCACATGTCCTGACCGCACTGCTTCTCTTTATAAATGGACTTGTGTAGGCAACATGCCTTAAGAAGCTTAAGTCTCATGAGTGAGTGCACATGCAGTCGCACAGTGTAAACTTTACATAGGATCTCTGTAGACTCAACGAGCGTGTTCTCACAAAACCCAGCCCTGTCGGCTGAACTTTGGTTTGAATGATGTTTGTAAAGACACATAGAGCAGAGTGAGGCAAATCTAGAGCTCATAAATTATTTCAACATCAAGAAAAGAGAGAAAAACTATGGAAGCCAATTCCCACCACCTCTAAAAAAAACATTAGCACCTAATTTTTTTTCATTATTTAAAAAAATTAGGTATTTATTTTATAGGCCATTATTTTAAGTCTTTATTTTGAGATAATATGACTTAACATTTCAAATAAATGGTATTCTCAAAATAATGACTAAGCACATGAAAGTAATGATTTAGCATCTCAAAATAATGAGATGTTACATAAAAGAGCATCTCAAAATAACGAGAAGTCATTGTTTCAATGTAATAAGTCACTGTTTCTGTCATTACTTTTCATTTTTGAGAAAGTTTCATTATTTTGAGATGCTAATACTTTGAAATAATGACTTGGCATCTCAAAATAATGACTTGGTACATCAAAGTAATGACTTAGCATCTAAAAACAATGAAATAGTGCATCAAAGAGCATCTCAAAATAATGAGAAGTCATTATTTTAATGCACTAAGTCAATATTTTTTAGATTTTGGGAAACTCATCATGTTCGTCTCAAAATAATGAGAAAGCATCTCAAATGACTTAGAATCTCAAAGTAATGACTTATTAAGTCATTACTAAAAAACACTTATTCCCTCAACAAACTCACAGTAAGGCTGGGGAGCCTCTATTGAATCAGCTCTGATTCAAACAGGCGGAAACTGCAGAGACTACATGCAGCGTGTTCGCTCACATTACAGCTTGTCAAAGTCCACAAAGCTCAAAATTTCACTCACCTGCAGCGCGTATGCGGCTAATTTAAACACATTTTCGCTCTCCAATTCAATTGTCCCCTGTGGGAAAACAGCAAATGCGAGAAAAGTCAATAAAAACTACCGTTAAGTCCGCAAGCGGACTCGGTTAGCTCAAACTACTCTCTCCCCCAGAGTCCTCACAGGTTCCTGCGAGGGAGAAACCATTCACACAAAGGCGGGGGGAGCATCAACGGACTCTAATAATTAAAACTGGTGAATTAATTTATACTTACCGCATGTCTAAGCTTCAGCAAAACGATCAGTACACCTTGACACTCTACACCATAATACACCATATTAAATACAAACATGATCGCGTTTCCTCCTTCAGAAATCTGTTGGTCGTAACCCCCAAATTACATGGTACAGCCTACAAGCAGGTTCAGCGTTTACTTCGAGTGGCGTCAAGTGAACTGAAGCAAACTCTCCTGAAAAGAATTACAGCCTTTAGGTTGGTTTAATTAACTTTTGTTTGTTTTTAACACTGCAAAATGTTTAATTTTAGGCTAGAAGTCTACATCTTTCGTGTAACCCCTCTCGTTAACGTGCAAAAGTTTTCAGACACCTGCTCATCCGGCGTTTCGTTTGAACTCAATGGTATTAAAGGGCCCATATCATGGAAAAACTATGTTTCGTTGCTTATTTTAAATAAAAGAGTTTGCTGTAAAGTTAAAGTTCATATACAGAGTATATATAGAAAATAAGCTGCAAAACCAGCCCCTTTTTAATTCTGTTTTTAGGACATCACAAAAACAACCTCGTTTACACTTATTCAAATTTTCAGGGTACAGCCCTATGCACCCCACTCATTCGTGCTGAAGTCATAAGGAGTGTTTCAGCCTGGATTGCTTTTTAAATGAGGGAAAAATACAGGGCAGCCAATAAAAACCGAAGCCATTTACATATGTCAGTCTTAAAGGCACAGTAACAGCCTCTTTAAGTCTATGAGAAGGTTGGAAAGTGGTCATGTACAAATGAATTATGACTTGTTTTCAGTCTAAACAACACAAACATACATGGACGTCAATAATGCACAAGAAAAATGTAGAATATGGGCCCTTTAATAGGGAGTTGGGCCCACTTTGCTGCAGTAACGGCCTCTACTCTTCTGGGAAGGCTTTACACTAGATGTTGAACATTGCTGTGAGGATTTGATCGAGCATTAGTGAGGTCAGGTACTGATGGTTGATTAGTTCTAGAACTCCAACTCTGGATGGATGGATGGATGGATGGATGGATTGCAGTGTTTCAGTAGCAAGACATATCATTGCACATAAACTTATATTTACTGAGCAGAAAATTCAAAATAGAAATCAAAATAGACATAAGTTATAGTATAAGTAGAAATAAAAGTATATCTGTTTGCATATTTACATAGTATATAAGACAGATTTGTTGTATTTACATGATGGCAGGCACTAAGTGGTAAACTAAATAAACTTTCTCTAGCAAGACTATAACCAGCGACCCGCTGATATGCGTAATTTTTTGTAAACTGTCTACATGTTCATAAAAACAAAGAACATAATAAGGCTGGATAATATATCGTTTAACTTTTATCACAATATTAGCATAGCAATACATCTCTAAAAAGGTACTCTGGCCATATTGTGCAGTAAGAGTATTGTAGCATAGCGTTGTTTAGCTACAGCAGTGCAATGGAAATACACCGAGATAATAGGAAAACAAACTGTTTGTGTATGGAGAAAAAGAGTGAGTGAGTGAGAGAGAGAGAGAGAGAGAGAGAGAGAGAGAGAGAGTGAGTGAGAGAGAGAGAGACTTGAGACTGGGCTGCTGGCCTTGCGTTCTTGGCATTGCCCTCCTCTTCATTAACACAAACCCAGTCCAATATTGTTATATAGTCCAGCAGACAGACCTCCACTGTCTGTCGCTGGTCTCAGACCAGTGGACACCTTTTATTCAATTTACGCCCCCCCACTGACCCCCCCCCCCATTACACTGGCACACTTTGCAATACCAAAATCCAGTGAGTCAAGTGATATTTCTAGAGGATTACAGAATCAGTAGATACTTTGTACAGGCGCCTGAATGCTGGCATTGTGCAGCCAGAAACAATGAGGCTGCTGGCAGTAGAACAAGCAGCCGAATGAAGTTTAAAATTACTGAAGGTCTTAGAGCAAATCTGGAGTAAATGCTTTCTACTGGCAGATGCCTGATGTGGAGTTAGCGTAGCTCCGTAGCCGTGTCAGTGGAGTAACAGCTCTTAAGGTGGGGAGGAGCTGAACGGCAGCCAACTGACCCTAACAGCTTCACGCTGCGCCTGCTGCCTGTAAACGCCCATCAGATAAAAGACCTACAGGCCTACTGCGCTCTGAAGACAGTGAGAGGTACTGCAGCCTTAAATATGTTTAAAGTGATAGTTCAGCGAAAAATCTAACGTGTATAATTTCCTCCTTGCCCTAAATTTGTCCTTCGGCCAAGTTAGACTTGGTGTCTTAAGTCTGCTCCTTTAGTTTTGACTGGAGCTACATTAGTAATAGCAAGTAATAGCCAATAATTAGCATTACTTCAGGCCTATATCACCACACAATTACCTCAAACCACTTGGAGTTGTTAAGTAAGCTCAAAAAGACTTGTTTGTGTGGTTTATGACACTGTATGACATACTGTTTTGTATAAAAACAAATAAATGTACAGACAAATGATCTAGTCATGCAGTTTCCACAATGCATTTGGTGGTCATAAGCTTTTGTTAATTGCTACCTACATGACTTGGCCGAATGACTACATTTGAAGAGAAAAACTGTAGATTTTCTGCCCAATCCTTCCATTTGTGCCTCAAATGTGAAAGTACACAAGTGTCATAACAAGAATTACCAACGACAATCAATGAAAAATACATTATTTTCATAACAAATGAATATTTATGAGCACTTACATCATAGACAGAAGACTTTGCGTTCCGGTAAAACAGCTCCACCGTTGTTGTGTCTTTCAAAAATGTGATACTCTCGATGTAAAACCTGTCAGAGGGCACAAGGTCATTCTATATTATAAGGCAGAGTTTTGATCAGATTAAATCATATAGATTTTTCAAAATATCTATATAATTGTGTATTTCAATTGCTGAGATGTCAATAGTCATTCAGAGTTTGATTTGATATGGTTACTGGAGAGAAACATACTGACTTTCTTTACAGTGGTGGTGATGGGAACCAGGGGTCACCATGACTACAACACAAACATAGCCATTTTATTTACTATCCAAAACAGGCAATGGACATATATGATGATGGTAAAATGGTGGAAAATCTGAAAAATTAAGTTTTTTGGAAGGGACTATTTTGCCCCATGTGCCTCTCCATTATGAATGTATTTCAAAAATACGTTTTAAGCCAAAACCGTCTCTAAATTATTATAAAGCAATGTTTTGGCATCAAGCAGTGTTCTCATAACCATTTCATGTAATAGCTTTCTGTGATGGAGCTTAAGAGGCATTAAACTCTGCAGACGTCTGGTTCCTATCACCACCACTGTGAACAGTTCTGACTTTCAGTTCTGAATTTTTCTGCAACTTATAATTTTACATCAAAACACTCTGAATGACTGTTTACATGTTAAAAAAAAAAATTTAACTATGCAGAAAATTACAAAATTGGTGGAATTCCCCTTTGAGGAATATACTGTACCACCATGCTGAATGTAAGTATTAAGTACAACAAAATACAGAGATTACTGTCTGTAAATCTTCTCAGTTGTCCAAGCAAACTACAGAAAACAGTTCTCTCTAACGCTCAATGTTGGCACAACCGCGCCCTCTAGTGGATAGAACCGCATGGTGATAGAGCATGGTTGTACATCTACACTACTGTCAAAAAGTTAAACAATGTGGATTTAAATCTCATAAACTAAATGCCAAAAAGCATTTTTAGAATTTTTATTGAACATGTCAAATTGAGATTTAAACAATATAGTAATGTACTGCAGTTATCTGAAATATACTGTAATATACTGTAATTCTTTATTTACAAAAATGTTTATGTCAAGTTTTTGGCCCTATAATTTTATTCTTGATGTTATACAGCTTTTTCACTCATTTCAGAATCATACACATATGCTGTATGGCTCTATTTATTATTCTGAGCACATCTAATGCAGGCTTTTTTGCTCTAGCTACATGGACAAGCAATATAAAAAATCCTTTTAAAGTTTAAAGTTTTATTTGTCACATACATAGTCATACACAGTAAAACTAGCAGTGAAATGCTTGGATAACTGCCTGCTCACATGAAGCATTAAGGTAATAGGGGGGATATATGACATGAAGTGAAATAAAGGGATCGGAAACAGCAGTTAAATAAAAAAAACAATATTGCACAGAAAAAAAATATAAGAAAATATCCATCTATGAAATATACACTAGAAACAATGAAAATATGAAATGTGCAATGTACACATTGCATTGTTAGGAGTAAATTTATATATACATACATATGCAGTTTATACATTTATCTATAATAAAATTGCTTCTAAATTATTGAAAACACTGACTACATACTTTCCAAATGGTAGTGGACTCTCACCTGACTTGGAATTTGAGCTCGAGTGGTCCAGTCTTTTTGGAGAAGTCGTGCTCCAGGACTCTTCGGTTCAGCTGGAGCCAGTTAGTCTGACCGCTAGTGAGAGAAAAGAGTCCACTATACTGCAAAAACTGCATAGAGCATTACATTCAATCATCTACAACGACTTTGCGCTCACTGATTTATTTCTCTTTAGCTTTGCTAATTGCTAATTAACTTTGCTGACATGCTCGTTTATTCAGATTGGTTAATTAAATTCATTAATCAACTGCCTTCATGTCATTTGTAATGTTAATGTTGCCCCTGAGTCCTAATGTCAACATGTTTTGTGACACACAAAACGTAATTACAGTCATGACAACAGTTCATGGAGACAATAAGTGTAATAAATAAATGAATCTAGGCTTTAATCCAAACACATTAGTGCTTATTTATTTCAGTATGAACTCTATGACAGCTCATAATACGTGTTAGATAATAAAATATCAACAGGAATGTGTTCATTTCTAGTAAATTAACCTCAGCACATGCGATAAACACACTTACCCCTCATCCGTGAAAGAAATTCCAAAATACTCTTTCTCCTTCAGGTTAAAATGGGAAGAGACCAGGTCCAGCAGATCTCGAGACAACAGCTTTGGCTGAAGGAAAGAGAAACGTTAGGGCGTTCACTAGCAGTGCACTGAATTAGATTTACTATTAGGAAAGAAAGCTAAATTAGTGTTTTAAAATTCAGATTAAAACACATTTGTTCAGGCTAACATCTGCCAAACATGCTGGATCACTGTAATTAAGTTAGCTAATGTACTGTTCTTCATTTAATTATTCTACACTTTTTTGTACCTTTATCAGGATTCCAGTTTACTCTGCAGGATTGTAGAGTCTATACACTGATCAGGCATAACATTATGACCACCACCTTGTTTCTACGCTCATTGTCCATTTTATCAGCTCCACTTACTATATAGGTGCACTTTGTAGTTCTACAGTTACAGACTGTAGTCCATCTGTTTCTCTGCATACTTTGTTAGCCCCCTTTTACCCTGTTCTTCAGTGGTTAGGACCCCCATGGACCCTCACAGAGCAGGTACTATTTGGGTGGTGGATCATTCTCAGCACTGCAGTAACACTGACGTGGTGGTGGTGTGTTAGTGTGTGTTGCGCGGGTCTGAGTGGATCAGATACAGCAGTGCTGCTGGAGTTTTTAAACACCTCAGTGTGACTCCTGGACTGAGAATAGTCCACTGCAGCAGCAGATGAGCTATCGAGCTATCTACAAGGTGGACCGACAAGGTAGGAGTGTCTAATAGAGTGGACAGAGAGTGGACACAGTGTTTAAAAACTCCAACAGCACTGCTGTTTTAACGCACAATTACTTTTAGTTTATTTGCTGTGTTTCTATCATATTTGGGGAAGAAAACACAAAATGTGGACTGTGCAAAAGTTATGGCACATTTTATATTTTTTATGTAATTTGACCAGGGATGTTCAAAGTTTTGCACTGTATATCATTATATGTTATTCTTACTCCTGTATTTGCTGTAAAAACCACCACTCTACATATTATGATTATTAATAACACAAATATTTTACCTGTTACCAATCACTGCTTTTTGAACATCACTACTTTTTAAAATGTGGAAAATCTTATTAACATATGCCATCAGAAAAAAGAGGCATTTGTCCACTAAGGTAACTGTCCAAATATAAATGTACATTTTGGACATTACACTGTCCTAAAATCGTACACCTTAAAGGTGCATTTACGTTGTTTCCAGGGGAAAGTACATGTTCATATTTTCCTAAACGTATTTCTTTTTTTAAATAGAAACATTTTTAAAAAGCCTGGAGTCAGGACAGGATGTAGGGAGTCAAATTAAATGTTAATAAATAAATAAAAGTAATGACAGCAATAGAATATGCAAATATTCCATATCGCTGTCGTCGGAAGAAACCCTCATATCTCCATTTTTGACGTTTTTCAGTTTTTGACATAATTTGAAAATGCCTGTTGCCCTTTACATTGTATGGAAATTTCATGAGGAATAAACTAAAGGAAATGACCAAAAATGACTTGGAAAAAAGTCTGGTTCCATTGACTTACATTAAAAGTAGAGTAGGTTTTTTCCTTCTCCTGTAAAGTTACCATTTTGGAGATACAAGGTTTTCTTCCAACAACAGCAAAATGTTCCCTAACTAAGGGAACTAATGACTTACCACCTCAGTGACAAACGATGGACACTTTGTTCCCTTTTTTTCTTACTTGGCAACATACATTATGCACTAAACAGCTGTATGTCTGGGTATATACAGCTGTATGCAAAAGTTTGGGCGCCCCTGGACAGTGTCATATTTTGTTGCTTTTTGAAGTGAAAAAATAAGCTAACACATCCTCTGCAGAACACACTTCTGCACATTTTAATGAGCCATTACTGCTTATTTGCTTAATTTAACATATCAGGAAAAAAAATCACACATAAAGCAAGACCAGTGCAAAAATTATGGCACATTTTATATTCAACATCTTCTTTTTCAAATATGTTAAACACAGCAAACAATATGAAATTGTGCACTAACTACAACTGCAGCGAATGACTGAAGGCTTGTATTTAGGTATTAAACTCTTACCTGGACCAAGAGTTCCAGCTGTCTGTCATCCAGCAGAAGCACCTGGCACTGCCGGCCCTCCGTCATCTGAGAGAAAGAAACAGACACGCGCTGACATTATCATGGTGTAAAAGAGACAGCGTGTCTTTTGAAAGTGGGATGGCATTGAGTGTTATTGTTATTGGCTGCATGGTCAGCAGTTCACCTCCATATACGCTGCTGTGACCTCTGGAAATGAACCAGGCAGAACTTCTGGCTATAAAAGTCTTGTAAGCTAAGCGCAGTTAATGTAATAATGTGAGGGCATTTTAGGAGTGACCTTGTCCATTTTTGTCCAACTAAAGATCTAGTGTATAGATAAATTGGATTGTGGATCCATTGGTGTGATTGATAGTGGTGTTAAACTGCGTCAGCTGGATCTATAGATGCAGTAAAATATTATGTATCAGTGCTGGAGATTAATGTCCTTTTGAATAAATGCCTTTCATTAATTATGTCCCAATATCCAGCATAATGTGAATAAACTAGATGACAGCACAAAAATGCTTTTTCATTTTGCAGCATTATTAATGTGTTCCAGATAATGAGCGTATACTGGTCCGGTGGCTTGAGAAGGTCCGCACCCTGCTGACTGTATGAAACTGCTGGTCCACCCTCGGACCACCTAGATTACTGTCCTGCATACAAACTCTAACTAGTTTTTAATCTCCTCAGTTTGAATCCACCGAGACTTTTATTTAAAAAAAAATAAGACAAATATTAGGTAGAAAAAATAAATAAATTGGACTGTGAGTGAAAAATGAGTGATGATAAGTGGGATTTTGTCTGATATTCTGCTTTACCACTGGTGGGCCTCCCAGAAAACGCTGAGCAGCTAACTAATCTAGCTTTTTTGGTTGTAGGTATTTTCACATGTCCATCGTTTTTCACTCTGCAGTCTTAACTAAAGAAAGGAAAGTAGGAAAAATAAAGAAATTGGACTATGAGGGGAAAATGAGTGATGATAAGTGTAGTTTTGTCTAATATTCTGCTAAACCACTGGTGGGCCGCCCAGAGAACGCTAAGCAAAACTACAGTGGACCACCAGCTTTGCCTTCAGCGGTCCAACAGTTGCTCACTATACTCTTGCTATCAGGGGTGTTTTAGATATCATAGCATAGCACCTAGTACCTACCTGGAATACCTTAGTAATCACCTAGAAACACCCAAGCAACCACTTGGAATACCATAACAACCACCTAACAATAGCCTGGAATACCTTAGTAACCAACTAGCAACACCCTAACAACCACCTGGTATACCTTAGTGACAAGAAATTACCTGGGATACCATAGCAATGGCCTAGCAACACCTTAACAACCACCTAGGATAACATGCAATGGCCTAGCAACACCTTAGCAACCAGTGGGAAATCTCAGTTCCTCTCAAGGTTTCTTCCTCTTTCCTTGGCCCTTGCTTGCTCATTTGGGGCTTGGACCTGTATTTCTGTAATGCTGCTTTGTGACACCCATTGTAAACACTGCTATATAAATAAATAGCTGCTGATTAACATTACACTGACACTAAAGGCAGTGTAATGTGCTTTAAAGATGGTGCTGTTCCAGCCGCTTTCAGTGGAACAGTTTTCACGTTCCCCTTAAAAGCTGTCTGCATTCGGGAGAGGAAGAAGTCTACAGTGACCAATGACGCAGCACGCCCATTGCCAGTATGTGTGTCTGTTTACCTACATCTAGTTTCTTGTTAGCAAGCTGTTTGAACATATTCAGCTAACTAATCTAGCTTTTTTGGTTGTAGGTATTTTCACATGTCCATTGTTTTTCACTCTGCAGCCTTATAAGCTGACGTTATTGGACTTATGGTGAGCTGAAGTGATACCAGCGCTAGTATTTCTAAAGTTAATAATCATCTGTACACTCTTAGAAATAAAGGTACGGTGCAGGTACATTTTTCATTCATCAAGGTACAAACACTGTAAATGTTCCCTCAAAGGTACAACAGTGGTTTTAAGGTCCAATTGTGCATCTTAAATAAGTTTTTCCAGGTGAAAAGTTCGCATTTGTACCTTTTCATAACCAAATGTTTTAAAACAGAACAATAAAATAAAAGCCTGGAGACGAGACGGGGTGTGTGGAGTCAGTACAGCTTAGACAATGTCATTTCAGTGTATTATGGTACAGTTATGTTCCCTGACTAAAGGTACTGAGATGTACCCTTGAGGGTCCCACCCCAGTGACAAGAGGGATCCTGCCCCAATGAGAGTGTAAGGCAATAGTGGGACATATTTTCCATTTCTTGTGAAAAGGCCTATTTGAATTGAAAATGGAGCTGAATTGAGCCACATGCATCAGAGGAACAACTCTACTCTATAGAAGCTCTTTCAGAACATCAATATAAAGCTGAATGTGCTCATTAAAGCAACATGAGAGTATAAGAAAGGAAACCCATAAGAGAGGATGACGCACGCCCACAACAGGAGCTGAAAAAAACACTAAACCGGTGTATACTTGAGTTTGTGAGGACACATTGTTCTCTCTGCAAGAACCCACAACAATGCTTTAATTATCCCCTGTGTTGATTTAATGCCTGTTTTGCAAGACGTCTTACTCTGTCCCTTAAGAGCTTCAGCTGAAATCAGTTCTGACAGATGCGTCTTATCAGTCTGTCTCATCACTTCTCATATTGCTTTTAGCTGATTGCATAATCAATACAAGCACTTGGTTGAAATGTCCCTCTGATGCAAACTTGGTTCATTAAATTAATTAAACTAAAAATATATTGAGCTGAATGGATCGATACATAGAAGCTATGAGTGCGCTCTCAATTAATTAATTAATTAGCTCTGAATTATCGCTCTTCACCACCTGCAAACTGCATCTGCATTGATAACGTATTAGTTAACCCTAATTAGCACAGTCTCTGTGGGCACCGACAAGTAAAGGGATTAGTTCAAACTATCTTAATAAACTATTTGTTGCTATTGAAACATTAAAACGAACCAATTTAAAATGATTTTGTTGTTTTTAAGCAATTTCAAGCCCAAAAAAACAGACAGTACAGACAAAACCATGAGATCAGCCCCTAAAAACACATAGTATTGTCCTTAATCCTTTTTAATAGACAGAATTATCGCCGCTGTTAATTACACAGGCTCCATTGTCTAAGCAGGGATTAATCACTATAGTAACCCTTTAAAGGACTTTGCATGAGCTGGCCAAGATTTATCAAAGCTGCACTGTAATGGCCAAACAACATCAAAACATAACAAAATACAAAGCACATATTTGTGCATTATTAACTTTCAAATCTGTTTTAGCTCTGTTAGTTATGATTTCTTCTGTTTGATCCTTAAAGGGCCCATATTATGGAAAAGACACGTTCTTCTCTTTTGTAAAAGAACAGTTTGATAAGGTATGTAAACATTGTTTGTGTAAAAACACACGCTTCACTGTCCAGTCCATACAGTCCACATACGGAAATAAACTGCAAAAACAGCCCATTCTGAGCGCATTGTTTTTGTGATGTCACAAAAACCAACTACAGCCGTTTAGCTCTGTCCACTCACGCTGAAGGAGTGTTTCGGCCCACTCCTGTTTTTCGAATGAGGCAGAATACAGGACGCCCAATGAAAACATAGCTCATTTACATATATCAGTCTTAAAGGTACGGTACCAAACATAGCCTAAAGGATAAAGAGAAATGAGAAAATGGTCATATCAATATTTTCCTATCTGGCAAAAATTTGTTCTTCTTTAAAATATTACAAGTGTTTAAAAGACCATTTAATATCTGTGTTGTAGTCGTGTTTCTCGATGTATTGTTGCCTATACATTTATGTTTTATTGTTTCACTTATTGTGATTATATATTTTTACTATCGCTCAGGAGTTAATATGGGTGTATAAATCTTCATCATTACACAAATACACTAGTAATTTCATATATATACACTCACAGATGACCTTGTGCACACACACATATGCTTACACATTCACATGTTTTTATTTAATGCGTTATGCCGATATTTAGGTCATTTGATGTTTATTTCATTATTATGTTTTGTATATTGTTTTGTATTTTCTATAGCATTGTGAAATTTTAGTATTATTTAGGTGGAGGCTTTATATAAGCCTATTAGGTTTTTTGCCTCTGCCTGCGCTGTATATTATGTTATCTTTGTTTATTTGTGTGTATTTTAAATTGTGCAAAAATAAAAAATACAAACATAACTTTTTAGCAAGAATGAAATAGGAGCTGCACTAGTGGAGTAAAGATCTGGATGTGGCTTGTGCAGGTTTGAAGAAGTTTTGGTGATGCATTTTTACCGAAACCGCTTGAGCTATGGTGACTAAAATTTGGAGACAAACGGCTAATTAAATTAAATGTAATTGATTTAAATACACATCTTTAGTGATATCGGCACTTTTACAATGTTTTATTGCCCAATGCAAGTAATGATGCTTTCAGTCAGTTGTTCAACATAACAAACCAAAGAAGTCTTCTCAGAGAACCTTTACCTTGACCAAAACACCAGAGACAATGTTCTTAAGGTCTTCCCTGACAGCATCAGCATTATTTAAGCTCAGTGTGGTCCCACCACCCCGCCCCCCGTCTATTGTGCTCGTCCACCCCCCACTCTTAACCTTCACTGATGCGTGTCTTCACTGGTTCGTATGTATTCACTCATCACAGCCACCTCGTTGTGCTGCTGTCTGTCAGTCATGGCTCTGCCTGGCTCAGAGTGGCCTTTGCATCATCACTGACCACTGTGTCACATTGAGTACGGAGAGCAGTGCATCTAATTGTTGCCCACTGACCAAGACGTGCATAGAGTAGTCAAAACAAACAACTATCTGAGATTCTAGAGAATATGCTTGATAGTTCTGTCCTCGGCAATGTTGCATGTGGCGACAATTTACAATAATTACTGACGGTTTAGAACTTTAATGGGATTTTACCACTTTTTGAAATGTTTTAACCAACAAAATGGTTAAAATGGAAAGTCAGAGTGGCTTGATGTGAAATGCTCCGTTCTAGAGTCAGGATTGGTCACAGTGGTGGTGATAGGAACCAGACGCCTGAAGAGTTTAATTCCTCTAAAAGCTCCCTCACAGAAAGTTATTACATTAAATGGTTATGAATGCACTGCCTGATGCCTAAAACTCAGAAGACACGGGTAGGTTCACTGGTGGTTTTGATTAGTAAAAAAATGGCTATATTTGTGTTGTAGATATTATGACCCCTGGTTCCTATCACCACTGTAAAGCATTTTGAGGTGGTAAATTTCTCTACAATAAACAATTTCACATCAAACCATTCTGAATGACATTGTTCACATCTCAATGACTGAATTTTGTAGAAAGTTTGGAAAAAAACCCCAGCAGAATTCCCATTTAAGCCTTTAAAATCCCAGTCGTATTAAAGACTAAGCCTTATTATTCAGTAACTACAGGGACTTCAATGCAAACTGGCTGAGTTCTTCATAGGTTATAGAGGTGAGTAATAAAACTTTGGCCATTTAAGGGGTTAAACTGCAAGGGCCTTACTTTACAGTTACTTGACTTACATATAATGTCGTAGCAGTTTCCAATTCATTTATATTAGCAACTCAGTACAAGGTACAGTACAGTATGATTAACTATTGAGGTGTTGAGGCAGAGAAAAGTGCATATTCTACACTTTCAAACCGTTTGTGTTTGTAAGTAGAACAGTCAGCAGTGCAGATTCAAACCTGCCACTACAGAATGCAAACTGAATGTGTAATTCACTGCGCTAATTACATATGCAGTTACGTAATTACATTTGAATAGTATAGCAAAATGAAAATAGCTCAACCTCTAATTAATGAGGTAACTTCAGTTGGGATCAGCGAGTGACAACTGAGTTTTTATGTAGAGCATTGTACATAAACTAAAGTAGAATTTCAGTCATTTTCATTGATATGCACAGCCAGATAGTCCATTTTGAGTGTGTGTGGGGGAAAGAGAGTGTAGGAGGAAAAAGGGAGGGGTCATGTGATGTGCACCGGTCGTGACACATAGGTCAACGGCCCCTGAAGCCCATTCTCAGGGTTACGAACTTCAAACAAAGCCCCCTCAGCAGTGCCCCCACCTTAAAACTCGAGTTTCTCTCTATAGTTAACTACACATACCACAAAAAAACCCTTAAACAGCTCAGTGGTGCTGTTCTGATTTACTCTTATAATCACACTGACGCATCTGCACTGACCCATAAATCTTAAATCCTTGTGATGTTTAAAAATGCCAGCTATTTCTGCTCCAGCCCAATGCTAAGTACACTCAGAGTCTCCACTGGAGGCGTCATGGAATGAATAAAACAGAGTTGTAATGACTCAGACCTACCAGCCACAAAAACTACTATAAAGGTTTGATGCCAAAGTCTGGAGAGACGATTGTCTGCACATATAAATATGATCCCACTGTCAAAACAGTGAGGACAAGCAGACAGTGGTTTACTAGGCAGTAAAAAAGTGTTAATAAAGAAATATAAATAACATTTCATGACAATAAAAATTGGGACTGATTTCCTTCTCTTTCACTAAGCTAAGTGAAATAGACTTATGCATTTCATTCTCCCTGCAAGAAATATGTTCTATAAAAAAAAAGACAGAAACAAGCTTAGGTTTTAAAATAACTTTGGTAAAAACAATTGGAACAGATTTACTTTATTTTATTAAGCTTGTTTGAACCAGACTTATTAATTTCATGATTCTGGCCCGAAATTGAATTCATAAAGGTTCATTGGTGCACGCTATTGCCAACTATTTCCATCTGGTCCAAAAACAACCTTTTAGTTGAAGCACATCTTTAGGATCAGAGGGAAGTTGCAGACTGTGAGCGGTCCACATTTGTTCCCAACCCTTTGGTCAACCCAAAGACCAAAGACGTCTTTTGATGTTTCAGCTTGATGATTTAGTTTAGTTAAAGTGACCTGTTGCAGGCAAAATTAATTATTAGACATAAGCTGCAAGCGAAATGGATAACTAGTTGCGTTTTAGGCCAGTTTTACAGTTGCATGAAGCAAAAGTGGCTTTACATACAAAAACTTTGAGTTGCATAATGTAAAGTGTCCTGCAACTTACTTGAAACTCAGCTGCAAGTGTCTCAACCTTGTGGAAAAAGTTTCACAAAGCCAGTCAAAATGCAGATTATGCATGATGTGATCTTGTCAAATGACATACTTTTAAACCACATATTTCACCAGATCTATGGACAACAAAATAAAACAAAAGATGGTTTATTGGATGGTTGAAACTGAGTTTATGTAAAGTTGGCAGTTTTTATTATTTTGTCAGTTCTCTGAGCTGTTGGCTTAACTAACCAACTAACACTAAGAAGTGTTTAAAGCTGTAGCTTGATTCATTTTCTCTTCTCTAATTTTACACAGAGCTCAGATTCCTTTGGGATGCGAATGATAAAAAATATCATAGAAGAGGGTGAACAGGAGGAGCAAGACATCAAGTACAACTATAATGGCTTATTAAACTTTAATCAAACTTTAGTGAAATATGTAGTAAAGAACCATAGATGGATAAAAGACAGATAGAAGACACCATAAGGATGACTTTATACAGCAAGAATGATATTGTGTAACAAAAGATATGATCTTTTAAACTGCCTTTTTAGTGAAGTAATCAAATGTGCTGCGACCTTCAAGAAGACCTGGATGTGGTTTGAGTGGGCTGAATAAAGCTTTTCTGATGTATTTTACAGAAACCATTTGGGCTTTTTGGGTGACTATTGAGTTGTAGTGTTTTTTTTAGCAACGTTAGCCTCGCTGTTCTGGTTCTAAAACCAACTTTTGGACTACAAACATGTCTCGGTCGATCCACTACATCTGGACTAAGTGGAACGTTGCGTAAATTTGATGGGCAAACCTGTCCTTTAAGGCCAAAAATGTCGTAAACCCGCAAAGCAGGCATCTCCACTTTCTCCAGTCAAAACCAACCAGATCTCACCATACAAGAACCGCTCTATTAAAACTGTGATAGCAGAACCAAAGATCTGACCGAAAACATTCTCCAACTAGCACTCAGTCACTCAGTAAATTCCATAACATATGGTCAGTCTGTGTAAAATGTCAGGCTTTCTAACCACCACATGTGGCTTCTTGAAAGCTACTGCAAGGAATTTAGAACAAAATAACCAAAAAAATCTTTACACAAACATTACATACAAAAACTCAGAAGACGCACGCAGTAATATTTACAGTTTTACATCACAAGATGCTGCTATCTGACCTCTTCCATTCCTCTGTGTCATACCTGATAGACATCTCCTATATGGCACAGTGTCTGTAGGAACCTTCTACACGGCACAAGACCTTCATTGTAGCATCTTCTCAGCACCTGCTCGGCCACGGTCCACACCAACTGACTCCCTGAAGCCAGGAAGTCCTCGACCCCGCAGAGAAACCCCAGAGCCATCCCAGAACACTCCTGCAGCCGGGCTGATATAACCTGACTGGATCCCGGAGGAGGTTTGGGTTAGAAAGCCAGAGGCTGGACTCAAGGCTCTCTCCGTGGGCTTCAGTCCAAGTCTTTCCCCCTTGGAGGAGAAAGCAGGAGGGCAGGCCCCAGAGCTGCCTGCAGTGCCAGTCCTTCAGACGAGCCCATTCTGCCCACTTTACACACACACGCACAAAGTATATACACACACGCGAGCAGACACAATGACTGCCCCAGTCTTTCCGCTCCTTCCACATAAACAGGCATTGTGGTTTCTGACTCTATTCATTTCGTGCTTTTCACAAGTCTCTCTCTCTCATAAACTGCCCTACGCACAGACGTTTACGTAAATATTTACTCCCAGGAAAAGAATAGCTGTTTTTGTGTTTACAGCGATCAGCGGATCAGTGCGCCACATCCAGGTCTTCTCATAACGTGTTTATTTCACTACACATCTATGATAGTGTGCAAATGTCAGAGACCACTCTTCATTCATTTCATTTCCAGTCAAAACGGTCATTACGTGCAAGCTATTCTGATATGTTTCAGAAGATATTTCTAAGCAGATTAGATGTAAAATTATCCACTTGCAGGAGAAAGTCAAAAGAAAATAAGTGGAAAAAAACAAGACTTCGCAAAAACAAAGTTCAACAAATGATTAAAAGCTGCAGAGAAAATGGGCCTCCTAACAACCACCTGGAAGACCTGGTAGACACCAAAACTGCCCTCATCAGAGAAACAGCACTTAAAGCTTTCAAACACAAGGGTGGTATGGAGTGAGAATCAGTTAATGTCAAATTTCGCCATACAGTACTGTGCAAAAACAAAGACCGTTTCCCTTAATTTCTTAAATTTTCAGTCAAAACTGTTCATTTCAGTTACTTTATCACTCACTTATTCAAGTTATTCATCAGGAGAAACTTCTGTGGAGATTAAAATATAAGACAACCAACTTGCACAAGGAAGGTGAAAGAAAATTAGAGTTCAAAAATGATGCAAAGATTAAAAAAAAAGGGAAAATGAGAAAATGGGACTTCTAACAACCACCTGGAAGACCTGGTAGACACCAAAACTGCCCCCATCAGATAAACAGCACTTAAAGCTTTCATCTTTGAGAGAGAGGAGAAAATCAAGCTGCTTCAGATCTGAAAACATCCACAGGTGTTTCTATCCATCCTTCCACTGTGAGAAGACGACTCAGCGCTGTGGGTCTGAAAGGATGTGTAGCTGTCAAGAAGAACCTCACTGAGAAAAGGAGACGGACACATCAAACAAAGAAGCTGAACAATGGACTGATCACCCCAGAGTCCAGACCTCAACACCACTGAATGTGTTTGATTACTTCAGAAAATGATCAACCAGCTTCTAAGACTGAACTTTGGAGGTGTGGAAAAACATCCCTGAAAAACTAAAGGAAACCTCATGACAAGAATGGAAGCGCTCATAAATAATTATGAATGAATTATTATTGTTATGAATTTTTATCATAAACAAATTCTGAATTTATTATAAATGAATAAATGTATATTTTCTTTTGTCGTTGTGGCTTCTGTGTAATATTCTGTTAAAAACGTTTACTGCATTTTTTCTTGACATTAAAAAATGAATAACTTCATTAAATAAATGAAAGGTGGTCTCTGACTTTTGCACAGTACTGTGATAACTGCCTTTAACATACCTCGCAGTAGTTCTTCTATGCTGAGTAAACAGGGAAATGAAAGGTATTTAAAGATACTGTGTGTGTGTGAGTGAGTGAGTGTGTGCATGTGGTGCATGGGATGTCATTTCCTCCAGGCACCAGACGTCTCCACCCGGTATATTCCGAAGGAAAACCATTTAAAAATAACCACTTTCATTTCAACCATCCGTGGCATTGAGCCAGCACCAACACAATACAGCCATGACTGACTGCACTGTGAATTTGGAAAACGAAACAGGCTTTAAAATTCTGGACAGAAAAATATGAAACAAACTGCAGCACATTTCAAACCTCTGGTTTTTACAACCCTCACTTGGAAATGTATAAAAACTAAGATAAAACATGAAACAATGAAAATATCAGTGAGAAATGATAAAAGAAACTATAAGTAAATATGTATTCTGTGTAGATCCTTCATCATCATTAGCCACGTTTACATGCAGCCTAATAATCCGGTAATAATCCGACTAATAGCTCAGTCAGAATAGAATACGTCCATGTATGCACCTCCACGAGGTGGGTAATCCTGTAAATAATCAGTTAAATAGAAGAATAATAGCCATGGAAACGCCCGTATCCGATTACCCTTACAATCGGAATGTGTAAGTACGTTCTACACATGTGTGTTCGCATCATAGCAAAAGCAGAGAACTCATAAACCGGCTCAAAAGTTTATACCGTTCAGCATGGCGGAGCAGAAACTGGTCTGCAGAGGAGACAAACTTTGTGCTCTGATCTTTAAAAGACGGCGGTGGGACGGACGTCCAGCTTATGTGTCTCGGAACACGACGGCTTCCTCTCGGCCTTCTTTAATAAGGGCGTTTTTCTGAGTCTGACATATTTTTAAAATAATTAAAAACACAAGCGCGATAACTGAAAACTCATCTCACTCTGATTGGTCTCACATGATGTTCGCTGTCATGGTAACATTTACTCTAAGTGGTTCTCCATGCATGCGCGTCATTTTCGATCGGCTTACTTGTAGAGCGCATGTAAACGAGGATTTTCATCAGATTGTTGAGTAGAGTGAGAATATAAACACCTCAGTCTTAATCTGTAATCGGAATGTGTTCAGTCGCATTGGCAAAAATCTTTGCATGTAAACACAGCCCTTTTTGTCATTACAGTATTATGTAAATGTCCCCTGTTTTCTCTTACAGTGTCAATTACTGCACTCACCACGTTAACACAATTATTTGTGGTAGCATACTACATGCTCGCCATATAACAGGCTCTCTGTGACACTCTACACTCTATATTCTCTGTACCTGGAATATATTCTCCCCTCAATAAAGCAGGCTGAACAGGCTAACAGGCTCCTCCAGTAATATTCTGAGACAGGCTTTAGTCTTCGGTCAATTTAATATTTTGCCAATGTAAGAATACGTTACATGAATGCCGGTTATAAGTTACAAATGTCCGTGTTTAAGCTATACTCTTAAAAAAGATGGTTCTTCAAGGTTTCTTCAGTAAAGAAAATGGCTCTATATAGAACCACAAATACTCAAAGAACCCTTTGCATGATTAAAAATTAATTAAATTAAATGGTTCTTCAGATTGATGGCGAATGTGCTATAGAAGATCCGATACAGCAATATAAAGGTTTCTTATATTGGTATCATGTTAAGCTTGTCATAACAGAAGAACCCTATTTGGTGCCTTATAGAACACTTTTCAAAATAGTTCTATGTAGAATCATCTACAGCACATTCTCCATCAATCTGAAGAACCATTTAGCAATTCAAAGAACCCTTTAATCATGCAAAGGGTTCTTTGTGTGTTCATGGTTCTATATAGAACCATTTTCTTTACTGAAGAACCCTTAAAGCACCATCTTTTGTGTATAGAGTGTGTATAGAGCTTGGAATAAATGTCTTAAAGTGAATATACACCACTGTTAGCTTGGCTCTACTAGGCTTGAGAAAGCGTGTGCAATGTACCACTATCCGATCACATCCCCTTACTGCCCTTACTGAAAAAAGAAACAATGGACTGACCACCCCAGTGTCTGGACCTCAACATCAATAAATGTGTTTGGGATTACTTGGATTGTGAGAAGCAGAAAATGTAAGAGATAAAAGTGTGTGTCTGTGTGTGTGTGTGAGTGTGTCTGTGTGTGTGTGATTGTGTGTGTGTGTATTGAAGGGGGGGGACCTTGATACCAAAAAGCAACATAACACTGTTGTCAGAAGAAAACCTCATATCTCCAAAATGAGAACTTTACAGGAGATGGAAAAAACTGACTTTATTTTTAACGGAAGTGAATGGAAGTAATTTTGGGTCATTTCTTTTAGTCTATTCATCATGAAATTTACAGACAGTATAAAGGGCAACAGCCATTTTGAAACTATGCCAAAAACTGAAAAACAAAAACGGAGATATGAGTTTTTCTTCCAACAGCAGCGATAAGCATCACAAAAGCAACATAAGTTCCACAATATTCCTATTGTGAATTTACCATCACAATAGGAAATAAAATGGTGAAAATGGTGATAACATGTTGCTTAAATTACACAGTTCTATTCTCTCTGAAGACTCACATACACTACAAAAAAGAAACAGTGGTTACTGGCCAGCCAACTGGTGTAGATCTTCACCATCTGCGTGTTCTGAGGCTTGCAAAAGCGTTACTGACATCAGATTAAAAAAACAAAAACAACACGAGGAAGAAGAAACACACAAAAACGCACACTCAGCTGTCATGTGCAGCAGTGGACCATCTGAAAAACATCTGAAAACCATTTCCTGCTGTTTGTTTGTGAGCTGGCGGACTCCCAGAGCACAACACGCAACATGATGATGATAAAGAGCAAACAGGCAGTGAGCACAGAAGGCTGAGTAGATCTTGTCTTGACATGATTCGACTATTTTGGTTTGATAAAAGCAGTTCAAAAGCCTGAAGCGACAGCCACTTTAATAAAACAGGCTAATCAATACAGAGACCACAAAATCCAGGGTGGTTATAAAAGTCCCCTGATAATAGTTACATAATAGGTTTAATAATTATAAAGTGCAGACTCATAAACTGATAACTGACATAAACTGATTTTGTTTTGGCTGTATGAATATTGATAGTACTAGATAAGTGCCATGCACCATAAAGTCTGAGGTACTTTGTAGTGCAAATGTTTCACATTAGCCTGTATGCACACTAATTTTTAGCATGTTGTCTATCACATTGAGTGTATTTACATGCACTTAACAATCCGATAACTGCAGAAAATCAGATATTGTCAGTAATCTGATCAAGGCATTTATATACACTTGAGTAATCAGATAATGGGGAAACTCCAGGTCTACATAAGACAGGCATAATCAGATTTCTGCTTTGCAAACAGCCAATAAACTCACAGAAGAAGATGCAGCTTAAATGTAATGTAAAACTTAGGTAAAAGGATTCTTCTATTGTAACACGCTTGACGTCGTAACAATAGAAGAACACTTTTCAAAAAAGTTCTATACAGAACCACCTAGAACACATTCTAAAGAACGCTTTCATGATGCAAAGAACCCTTTTATCATGCAAAGGGTTCTTCGAGTGTTCATGGTTCTTTATAGAGCCTTTCTTTACTAAAGAATCCTTGAAGAAAGAAGATGTTTTTTAAGAGTGTGCAAGAAAGTATAAGATGTGGGTCCTTTAAATACCCATTTAGCATGTATGGCGCAGATTTGTGAACAACTGCTGATAACACTTTATTTGGACGATCCACTGTAGATGCTGTGTAGATTCTCAGTCTGTCTTTAACAAACACTAAATATCTATTAAATGCAACTGAACTTGAAGTTGTGTGTGAAAGGTTCTATTAAATCTGTCCCTAAGCCTAAACCTAACCCTAACTTTAACCTTAACCTCAAGGCAAAACCTACAGCTACTCTTAAACCTAACCCTAATCATAATGTTGTTGATAATCTACTGAGTATCACCATATAGTGTCTTAATAATATAAGTGTCTGTAGATCATCTA